AGACTGTTTCCCAAAAAAAAAAAAAAAAAAAAAAACAACAACAACAACAAAAAAAAACAACTAGCATTGTTTAGAGTTTTGGGGGTGATTTTAGACAGGGTTTTTCTATGTAGATAGACCTGGCTTTCCTAGAACTCACTCTGTAAACCAGGCTGGCCTCGAACTCACAGAAATCCGCCTGGCTCTCTCTCCCGAGTATTAGGATAAAAATCATATACCACAACCACCTGGCTTAATTTTTGTCTTTAAAATCTCTTAGTTCCATTTGTTTATTTATTTATTATGTGTATGTATCTGTATATTCAAGTGAAAGTCAGAGGATAATTTGTAGGAGTTAGTAATCTCTTTCTACCATCTTCATCCCAGGGATAGAACTCAGGTTGTCAAGTTTGGCAGTACATGCCTTTAACCACTGAGCCATCTCATCAGTCTTATTGTGTATGTGTGTATGTGCAGTGCCTTTAACCACTGAGCCATCTCATTGGTCTTAATGTGTGTGTGTTGAGAAAGAGAGGCAGAGAGAGAAAGAGGGGGGCAGAGAAACAGAGTAAGAAAGAATGACTTTCAGGATTGGTTCTTGCTTTCCACCATGTCTTTGAGAACTTGTTTCTGCTGCTGCACTGTGCACTCCAGGATAGCTGGTGAGTATAGGTGCGAGTGTCTGGCCGAGTCTCCCATCTGCCTCCCATCTTGTAGTAGGAATGCTGGGCTTAGAGATATGCACCACCATATTCAGCCTTTACATGGGCTCTGGGGGCTGAACTCAGGTGATAAGGTTTGCACAGAAAGTGCCTTTGCCCACTGAGCCTTCTCTTCACATCTCACCTGCCTGCTGCTCCATCTATTTTTTCTTTCTTTCTTTTCTTTTCTAAGATAGGGTTGCTCTGTCTTTTTTCTTTGGTTTAGTTGAGATGACAACTCTCTCTGTGTGGCCAATCCTCCTGTCTCAGCCTCCCAGGTACTGGGATTATAGGTTTGTGCCACCACACTGCAGAATCCTGCCCACATAAAAGCTGTTTCTGTGGGAATGAGCTTCAGGTTTCTTGCTGGACATCAGGGAACTCTGTTGTCATACGTGGGGTTGTGCTTCTTACAGGCGGCCCAGCATTCTCAGAAGCAGTCCACTGAGCTCTTCCAGTGCATGTACTTTAAAGACAAAGACTCAGAAACGGAGGAGCGCTGCATGGCCGATGGAATTATTTATTCGATTAGAACAAATGGTGTGCTTGTATTTATACCAAGGTATGTTACCTCTCATGCAGTGACTAGTAAGAAATCACAGTTAAACTATACAGTGTTGAACACAAATGATACATTATATGTAACTTACTAAAATATTTATTTAGACTGAGGGTGTGTAGCTCAAAGGTGGAGTGCCTGCTTGCCTAACACATATAAAGTCCTGGGTTTGATCCCCAGCATCACATAAAACCAGGTCTGGTGATATGTGCCTGTAAAGCAAGAGGATCAGAAGTTCAAGGTTATCCTTAGCTACATAATGATTTTAGTGCCAACTTGCACTCTGAGTCCTTATCTCTAAAAAGAATATATGCTTGGCATGATGGCACACACCTTTAATCCCAACACTCAAGAGGCAGACACAAACAGATCTCTGAGTTCGGGGCCAGCCTAGTCTTCAAAGCAAGCTCTAGGCCAGCTACAGCTATGGAGCGAAACTTTCTCAACAAAGTCTCTATATATTAACATATACAATGCTACATATATAAACTTCACAAAATTACTATATGTACAATCAGGAAATAGCAGGAGCAAGTGGGAGTACATATATATGCATGTCCATCAGTCCTAGGATCTTTCTTAGCTTGCAAAGCATTGTTTCTTATCTGCTCTGTAAAAATGTTTCGGAGATAAACCACAGAAGAGTGGCTCAGCATAGAAGATTTGCACCCTAAGAATACATTATCTCGGTTTTACCCTGGTGGTGATTTAGGTTCGGCATTAAAGGTGCTGCCTATCTAAGGAATAAAGATGGCTTAGTGATCTCATGTGGCCCAGAGAACAGATCTGAATGGACGCCAGGATCCCTACAACGGTCTCAGAACAAGATCACCTCTACCACTGCTGGAGGGCAGTCTGTTACATTTCATCTGTTTGACCATGTAACAGTAAGTCTGTGTATTCAGCCTTGTTTTCAATGTGAAGAAAAAGACACGACGTAGTAACGTGTATTTCTCTGTGCTAGGTAAGAATATCTGTCCAGGCCTTGCGTTGCCACTCGGATACAATCAGGCTTGAAATAATAAGCAACAAACCATATATGACACCAAACCCAGAACTGTGCCATCAGAGCTCCCTCTTGCTGAAGAGTGAGTTAGTGAAAGAAGTGACCCGGTCTGTGGAAGAAGCTCAGCTTGCCCAAGAAGTCAAAGGCAAGGTAGTAAAGGAGGAGTGTCAGGAATACTGCCAAACAAAGGGAAGAAGTCTGTACTCGCTTCTGGAGGAGATAAGGGACCTTGCTCTTCTAGATGTTTCAGACAGTCATGCAATGTGAAATCTTTCCACTTCAATAAAGAGCTTTCTCATAGATGTTGTACTGTCTTTTCAGATTTAAACCTTGTCACTTGATGTTCTAGCAGAAGGAGATTAAGTGGGTACTTCACAAATGCGTGCATGTTCCCTTACGTCACTGAAGAACTAGCTCCCTATATAAACTGGTAGTTGTTGTTTTGTTTTTCTTTTTGGTTTTTTTTTGTTGTTGTTATTTTACAAGACATGAAAACCTTTATTTTCAAAAAGAGAATGTATTTTTACATAAATCTACAACAGAGTTCAACTGTAGAAAAAATAAACTATACTTAGGGATACTGCACTCAGCATGGCAAGCAAGCTCCCTCCCTTAGGAGAGAGCCACACCAGGCCACAGCTAGAAGGACCTTACCACCCCTGCAGAAACCCCACAGCAGCATGCCCACAATGCTGACCAGAATCCAGGCACATCTATCCAACAGATGTCCGGGGCTTCAGAACCCACATCAGCAGCCACAGACCAGGCTGACTTGGCTCCATAGAGATCTGTTGTCTATGCAGGCTGCAGCAGCCACAGCTAACCCTGAACCTCTCTGCAGCCTGTGCCTGTGTCCATCAGCCTGACCCATCTATCTGGACCAGAAATATCCATAGAACCTCTGCACTGTTCCATGGCAGGCCACTCTGGGTACAACCAAAAGTCGTAAAAATACTGTGCAGCTCTGAGTCTGGCCATCACCTCTTCCCAGTCCTGGTCACACAAAAGCCAGGACAGAGGATCCATTTGGGGCAGGGACTAAGCTGGTAGGCTTAGAGGCCAAGGCAAGAATCTGTACCTGCTGGTCTAAGTACCACATTGAACTCCTCCCTCCTACACAGATGACTCATGCAGGGAGAGGACCAGGAAGTCTGTCCAAGAGTTCCACTCTTTCTCAACTGAGGGTCCCCTTCTAAAAACAGTCAGTGCCCACAGCAACAATTAGGAAAGAGGCACAGCAGGGATCCATCTTCCCAGAGACCTTTCCAACCCCTGCCCTAAAAGCCAGGTATGGATGGGATGAGCTCCCATTCCATCAGAACTCAGGGTCACAGAGGGTTCAAGCCCACCTTTTATTACAGTGTGTGTAGCTTACTGAGTGACACTAGAAAGACAAGGGGACACTGTGCAACCACTGAGAGGTCAGTGTTGACCTATGAACTCCAAAAAAAAAAGGGACTTGACACAGATACAACTTAGAACCTGTTTCCAGAAATTCCTGGAAACACACTGGGTACTATTACAGTCAGGCCAAGGCTGGAGGCAGGGAGCGGGAGTGGGGCTGTAGGTCCTGCTCCAGTGTGTGCACTGGTCAATACAATACCAAAAAGATACAAAACAATTATTGGGAAAAACAACCCCTGATGAGCTGAACTCACTCTTGTAATAAAAAATTAAAAATTTGTGGCCTCTGAGCATAGAACAGACCATGAACTCCCCAGGCAGGGACAGAATTGGCAAGAAATGTCACAGTGGCTATCAAGACTCGGTAGTGTGCACTCCCCTGACCCGACATCTTCAGAGAGGAGGTCACCAGGCCTGTTGCCCCAGCCTGGCCCCACACCTCTGCCCCCCATGCATTTCTTTCTTTTTTTTTTTTAAATATTTATTTATTATGTATACAATATTCTGTCTGTGTGTATGTCTGCAGGCCAGAAGAGGGCACCAGACCTCATTCCAGATGGTTGTGAGCCACCATGTGGTTGCCGAGAATTGAACTCAGGACCTTTGGAAGATCAGGCGATGCTCTTTACCACTGAGCCATCTCTCCAGCCCCTCCCCCATGCATTTCTTGCCAATCCAGGCGGCTTCCTGAAGTCTCTTGTGGAGTCAGGACTTAGCACTCATCTTCGACAGTTTGATGGTTTTGTCATTCTCTAATGCTGCCGAGGCATTGATGTTCTCTGTTAGATGACAAGCCGTGGAAATCACAACAACTGTGTGACCCGGCAACTTCTGCATGTTCCAGATGTACACCAGGTTATCTTCAGAACCAGACAGGATCCCCACCCCAGCTGTCATGGAAAAGTTGGCAAATATGCAGTACTTCTCGTTCTTGTGGCCAGTGTATGTCTTCAGGCACTTCCCCTTGCTGTAGTCCCAGAGCTTCAGCATGTTGTTCAAAGTTGCAGCCAGGATATGTTTGCCATTTGGAGAGAATTTCACGAAGGACACTGGAGGATTGTCATCATCGATGAACGTCTTCAGGCACTGGCCAGAGGCAGTGTCCCAGATGCGGCAGAGGCCATCATAGCTACTGGACACAATCAACGATCCATCACAGTTAAAATGACTGGCTGACTGGGTCCAAACAGGCACGCAAAGTCTTGAGACACTTCCCTGTCTTCACATCTCTCAAATCCTGAGTTATTTGCAAAATATTTATTTCTTTAAAAAAGACCTTAATAGTCAGTGCATATTTACATTTTAAAACATTACCTAGTTTAGTGAGAAATAATGCAGTGCAAACTGGAAGCAACTTATAAAGTCAAATTTATACAGTACAGCAAAAAATAATAGACGTACTAAAATAAGTAGGAAACACAATTATAAATAGTCACTGTATTTTAAGCAGGAATCCATAGAAGTTTTATAACTTAGACTTATAAAAAGTAGAAAAACTTACAAATAACCCCAAACTCTGCAGGATTCTGTTGTGGAAGTCTGGCTACTTGGAACATTTCTGGTTAGTCCAAGTTAGAATGGTTCCTCTGCTTCAAACTGTTCCTCTTCATTTGTATTGGCAGAAGGAACACGTGGAGCATCTGCAGTATCTGTGTTTAATCCACCTGAGTCTTCTTGATCCTCACCAGTACTGCTCTCTTCCACTGTCTGTGCCCAGGATGTGCTCACTATCACATCTGAGAGAAGAATCATAGCATTATTACTCATTATAAGCAACTGATACAAACTTGATAAATACAAATCTCTCCAAAAGCTTATTTGGTAGAAACAAATCTATAATCCCCCTAATTATCACCACTAAAGTCTAAATATAAACTAGTTTTTACATGCATAAAACACTTAAAATGCCAAGGGCTCGGGGAAAGTAGCTCAGTTGTAGAATCAATACAGATTAGCAAGTGTGAGGCCCTGGATTCAATTCTGGCACTCTCTCATACAAAAGTTAAGGGGCCTAAATGATACTACATTCAACTCTTCCATCTTACTCAAGTATAACTTCTCATTCAAAATAAAACTAGAAAGAGAGGGGCTGGAGAGATGGCTCAGTGGTTAAGAGCATTGCCTGCTCTTCCAAAGGTCCTGAGTTCAATTCCCAGCAACCACATGGTGGCTCACAACCATCTGTAAAGAGGTCTGGCGCCCTCTTCTGGCCTTCAGGCATACAGACAGAATATTGTATACCTAATAAATAAATAAATAAATATTTTTAAAAAAAAAAGACAAAACAAAACTAGAAAGAGATTCAAAGAAACCAGAGGCAGGGCAGGCAAGATGACTGTGGGTAAAAGTGCTTGCTGTCAAGTCTGACTGCCCCAGTAGTGGAAGGAGGAAACAGACTCCCAAGTTGTCCCGACTTGTATGCTGTGGGCACATGCAGGAGTACACACACATCCACACACAAACACAATGTCAAGACAAACGCAATTAGCTTTATGTCAGAGACCTATGGTAAAGAAAATTTAAGCCAAGGATGATGGTACATGCCTATTCAGCACTAAGAACCCTGTCTGGAGGAAAAAGAAATTTTTAAGATACCTTTTTTTTGGGGGGGGGGGTGATAGAGTTTATTTAGTGGGTTATGGAGGGGAAAGGGACGAAGGGGGCGCGGAGGAGGCAGTAGTTACCTCTTCAGAAGAGGGACAGAAAGAACGCTAAGATACTTTTTTTAATATTTGGTCAAATTTTAAATTATATAATATAAACAGAAAATGTTCCTTAAATCCCTATTGTCAAGTGTATTTTGAGATGGCAAGAAGCCACTGCTTCATTACATTTTTGTATGATTTTTAATATTTATTATTATTTTTCATTATGTGTAAGTATGTGCATGAGGGTACAGGAGCCCCTTGGGGTCAGGGTCATCAAATCTTGAACTACAGTTATAAACAGTGATGAGACACCTGACATGGGTACTGGGAACCCAATTCTGGTACTATGGAACTGCAGCAAGTATTCTTAACCAATGAGGCATCTCACCATCCCTTCATGATTTCTCACATTATGAGATTTATCTTAACTGAAAAATCAAGACTAGGTTACAACATTCACTTGAGAACTGTTATATTGGATGAAACATTTTACAACATGGTATTTACTTATTACAGTTCTTTTTTTAGGTTTTTATTTTTATATGTACATGTGTCTGTATGCACACAAGTGTATGGGTGCCCAAGGAGGCCAGAAGAGGGCATGGATCCCTTAGAACTGCAGTTATAAGTTACTATGAACCACACGGTGTAGGTGCTGAGACCCAAACTTAGGACAGGAGCAGGAGTAGAAAGTGCTTATTTTAACTGCTGAGCCATCTCTCCAACCTCCTCTGCTATAGTTCTTATTTTTTCAATATAAAAAAGAAACTGGATTAGAAACAGATACATTCCCAACTTTTGTTTTGAGAAAAAGGCTTTCCTTTGTAGCTCAGGCTAGCCTAGAACTATGTAGCCCAACCTCGCTTACACTCCCTGCTTCAGTCTAGTAAGAGCTGCTGGGTGCCACTAAATCTAGCTCATAAGCTTTAAATTTTAATTCTCAATAACTTCATACAATGTATAATTCTTTTAAAATACAGTTTTGAGGGGAACTAGATAGAGTACCATATGGCAGCTCACAACCACCTGTAAACCCAGTCCCAGAAGATCTGACATCTGACACCTTCTTCTGGCCTTCATGGGCACAAAACACATGTGGTACATAAACATATATGTAGGCACAAGACACTCATACACGTAAAAGAGTAAAGTAATAATTTTTTAAATTTGGTATTATAGCTGGAAAGATGGCTAAGTAAAGAGTACTTGGTGCTTTTGCAGAGGACCTGGGTTCTAATCCCATACCCACATGGTGTTTTAACAACCATCCATCCATCTAGTTCCTGGGAATCCAATGCCCACTTCTGACCTCTGAAGGGAAAAGGAACAAAAACTGTACAGACTGCCAGCAGCAGTGGTAGCATACGCCTTTAAATTCCAGCACTTGGGAGGCAGAGGCATACGGATCTCTGTGAGTTTGAGGCTAGCCTTGTCTACAGATCAAGTTCCAGGACAGCTAGGACAACACTGAGAAACCTTGTCTCAAAAAACCAAAATGATTCGAGACCAGCCTGATCTACAAGAGCTAATGCCAGGACAGGAACCAAAGCCACAGAGAAACCCTGTCTCGAAAAACCAAAAAAAAAAAAAAACCAAAATGAACAAATAAAATAAAAATAGAAATGAAAAGTTTAAGGCAATTTTTAAAAAGTGGTAAAGATGATACAGATAAGAAAACTATAAAAAGTACAACTCACAAAAGTGGGACAATGTAATAAAAAGCATTTTAGTAGCTAAGTGGAGCTCATAACAGGAGGTGGAGGCAGAAGATCATTAAGTGGGTAAGTGGGAAGTTACTTGCGTAAATTAGTAGGATCTAAACTCAAAATTAAAATATAAGGGCTGAAGATTCAGTTCCTTGAAAGAAGACTGCTGTGTAAGACCCCATTTCAACCTCCAGTGTCCACCATCCCCTAAAAAGGCATGTTAGTATCCTATTTACCTCACAGAAAATTACTGCTAATTCTCAGTTAGTACAGAACACACTGGATTTATTATTCAAGGTCTGGCTAGGTTACAGATTAGTTTAAGCCTAGCCTGGGTAACCTATAGAGATCCTGTCTTGGAAAAAAAAGGGGGGGGGGGGCGTGTGTGTGTGTTGAGGATATAGCTCAGTGGTGTAATAATGCCCGTCTAGCACGTGCAAAGTGCTGGGTTCAATTCCCAGAACTAAAATGTATTGACTCCATAATAATAACTTTTCCTAATTATGATCCTAAAAATATGTGTAGCATGCTTTAAGAGAAGAAGTCAGAGAAGAATATATTGTTGGATTTGGTATTCAAAGAGTTATCCAGGGCTGGAGAGATGGCTCAGAGGTTAAGAGCATTGCCTGCTCTTCCAAAGGTCCTGAGTTCAATTCCCAGCAACCACATGGTGGCTCTCAACCATCTGTAATGAGGTCTGGTGCCCTCTTCTGGCCTGCAGGCATACACACAGAAATAATATTGTATACATAATAAGTAAAATATTTAAAAAAAAAAAAAAGTTATCCAGAAAACCGTCTTAGACTTAAACATTCCGTAGGATTCCAAACAGCAAACACACATACACTGACACACTCTCTAAAATATACATAAACTAACATCACTTTTCTATTCCTAGAGGTATTTTATTTCAAGAGATAGTAAAGAAGTTAAAATTTCCTACATGCCCTTGATATTATATGGTAGCTCATAAAAGCCAACATAAAATTTACCATTTTCTAGGGACTGGCTATTACTCAGTAGCTTTGCCTGCCTTCTTTCCAAGGCCAGTTGTTTATTTCTCTCAATCCTCTGTTGCTGCTCTTCTGTTAGACTTCTACTTGATTCAGAAGCCAACTTCTTGCTGTCAAATGAGCTTGTCAAAAAGGGATCAAATCCAGCTGCAGTTGCATCGAGGTTATTAGTTTCTTCAACTTCATCTGTGGCAGAAATAAAAAGTTAATACAACTGTACTATTAGAGGAGTTAGAGAAAGAACAGCCTTCAACCACAGTTTAAAGTGGCAAATGGCCTAACCATAAACAATTTGTAAGGTACGAGAATGTGGCCAGTACAGGCTGGGTCAAGTAAGTACAAGAAATATTTACAAATCACTCTTACGGTGAGCTGCAAGTTACACCAAGTGGACATACTAAATATGTAAAAGGAGTCTGGGGAGGCGGCTTGGTTGGGAGAGCATGCAAAAAGCCCTGGGTTTGATCTCCAATGCTCAGTGAGGTGGCAAACTGCTATAATCCCCACACTTGGAAGATAGAGGCTGGGGTTATTATCATCAGTAGTTAGCTCACAGTCAGCTTGAGAAATAGAAGACTCTGTCTCAAAAATAAAAATACATAAAGAAGTTCAAATGTGTAATTCCAGCACAACAGAGATAGAGGCAGGCAGGGGAATGAGAAGTTTAATGTTCAAGGTTCTGATATTTACCAAGTTTAAAGCTACCCTGGGCTACTTGAGACCTTTTAAATTTATTATTATTGTTGTTATTATTTTGTTTTTTTGATAAAGAGTTTCTCTGTGTATCTTTGGCTGTCCTGAAACTAGCTCTGCAGACCAGGCTGGCTTTTGCCTCCCTAGTACTAGGATTAAAAGTGTGTACCATCACTGCCTGGCTTGAGATCTGTCCTAAAAATAAGGAAAGAAAGACAAAACCGCAGGAGAATCAGTAATGAATGGAAGGGATATGATTTTAACAATGTAATTGGAAAGATTTAAGTGAGTTGACACAGTTTGAAGAGGGTAAAAAAATTAACTATATTGATCCAGGGGAAATTCCAGCTTTTACTTTTAATAAGAATTGATCGACAATAAATCTATTAGAAATGTAAAAGTCTTAGCCAGGCAGTTGTGACACACCTTTAATCCCAGCACTCAGGAGGCAAAGACACAAACTCTTTGTGAGTTCAAATCAAAACCAGCCTGGTCTACAGAGCAAGTTCCAGGACAGCCAGGACTACACAGTGAAACTTTTCCCTCCAAAAACAAAAACAATCTAATAAGCAATTTCTTTGGAGAAAAAAATAATCAAGTGAATTAACAAATAAAGATGCATGATACACATTCAAAGTAGACAAATTTTAAATTACAGAAAAGGAATAAAGGAAAAATATCAGTAACATTAACAAAATTTCCAGCATTTATGAATAGGCTTCAAAAAATGAAGACTAGGGGGGCTGGAGAGATGGCTCAGAGGTTAAGAGCATTCCCAGCAACCACATGGTAGCTTACAACCATCTGTAATGGGGTCTGGTGCCCTCTTCTGGCCTGCAGGCATACACACAGACAGAATATTGTATACATAATAAATAAATTAATTAATTAAAAAAAATGAAGACTAGGGATGGGATCAATGGGTACTGATGCTTACTATGCATTAGTTCAGATCCCCAGCACTGTAGCGCAGGGGTAGGAGAAAAATGGTGAGACCCTTTCTCAAAAAATAATGTGGAGAGGCTGGGGAGGTGGCTCTGGTTTTTTGTAAATACACATGTGCAAAACACTCACAAATAAAACAAGTCTAAAATAATAATGTAGAGAATGACAGAAGAAAACCATCATAGACCCCTCTGGCATGTATACATATATTTTTTTATTTACATTTTTATGTTTATGGGTATTTTGCCTACATGATCTATATACAACATATATGCCTGGTGCCCAAGGAGGCTAGAAGGAGAGAGTCTGATCTCCTGACACTGAACCTGGAATTACAGGTGAGCTGCCACATGGGTGTTAGGTGTGAACCATCTCTCCAGGACCCTACCCCAACTCCTTTTTAAAGAAAAGAAAAGAAAAGAAAAGAAAAGAAGGGCTAGAAGTTTGGTATAGTGGTTCACACCTAAATCCTAAGCAACTGGGATGCTGTGGATGGAGAATTACCACAAATCTGAGGCCAGTCTAGGCTACATAGTGAGTTCCAGGTCAGCCTAGGCTACAGAATGAAAAGACTATCTCAAGAAAAAGAAATGAACAAAGAGCGGCTAGGGGAGAGAGTAGCTCAATAGCATTGCACTTGCTTGTCATGTGCAAGGCCTGGTTTAATACTCAGTCCCAAGCAAGGAAGAGAGGAAGAAAAAGAGACTCATTAAGCACAATTCATGTGATTCTAATTTCTTTTTGGATGTGTGCATCTTTGTGTGTAAAACCAAAATATGAAACATAAATCTAGCAGGGCAGTGGTGGTGCACGCCTTTAATCCCAACACTTGGGAGGCAGAGGCAGGAGGATCTCTGTGAGTTCAAGGCCAGCCTTATCTACAGAGCTAGTTCCAGGACAGGCTACAAAGTGACACAGAGAAACCCTGTCTTGAAAAACACAAAAACAAAACAAAAAAACACAATTACTTAAAACCAACAGTTCTCATTCTGCCAGTCCCAACCTCTTTGGCAGTTGAACGACCCTTTCACAGGGGTCACATATCAGATATCCTGCATATCAGGTATTTTACATTAAGATTCATAACAGCAAAATTACATTTACAATTACAGTAGCAATAAAAATAATTTTATGGTTGGGGGTCACCACAACACGAGGAACTGTATTTAAGGGTCACAACATGAGAAAGGTTGAGAACCACTGATTTAATCCATAAGAGGATTCTGTACGGAATCCACTATTACTCACCATATATATTACTAGTTTAAAAACAAGTACGGGGGGCTGGAAAAACAGCTCAGTGATTAAGAGCACTTGTTGCCCTTGCAGCAGACTGGAGTTTGGTTCCCAGCACCTATGCTAGGTAGCTCACAACTTCCTGTACAAACCTCTTAAGCAAAGAGTAGGTACTTAAAGGAAACCTTTTGAGAGCATGTATGCAAACTCCGGCAGATTCCTGTAGGCTTTGATAAATATGGGCTTTGATATTGAAGAGAGAAAAAAAGAAACAATCTAACGCCAAACCAAGACACAGCAGAGGGTCTCCACTAGGCAGAAGATCATCAAAAGCACGCACACATATACACATCCACATACAGACGCACACATAATTAAGAATAAATGTTAGAAAGCTTTAAGTCGGGCAGTGGTGGTGCATACCTTTAATTCCAGCACTTGTGAGGCATAGACAGGCAGATCTCTGTGTTTAAAATCAGCCTGGTCTATAAAGCAAGTTCTAATCTGTCTGAAAACCCCCTAAAAAGTTTTTAAAATATTTATGTATGGAGCCATCGCACAGAAAATCTGATAACTATACAGACTCTGTCGGCAGGAACCAACTGTTTTGATGTATGTGACCGTCTATGGTTGCATTGTACAACTAACAAATGCAATCAATGCCAGAACAGTCACATAGGTCTTCCTAAAGTTCTATAGCCACGGATCTGGTTCTTTTGAATTTTTCTTTTCTTGCATACCCCAAGTTAATCTCAAACTCACTAAATTATCGAGGCTGGCCTTGAACTTCTATGTCTCCTATTTCCACCTCCTAAATGCTGGAATTACAGACATGTGTTACCACACATAGCTCAAGAGTCTACATGTTGAATGGAATATAAAATTCTATCAACAAATTATTCTACCTAACTTCCCAGAGATAGGTTTTCTAATGGTTTATATGCATATGAACACTCTAGTTTGATGGGTAGTTGTACTAGCAAGAACTATAAATGATCAATGAAGTCAGCAGGTTCTCAAAACAAGCTTCGCAAACTTTAGTCAATCCCTGGAACCTACATAATGGAAAAATCAACTCTAGAAGTTGTCTTAATCTCCACACACATGCCATGACACAAGAGCACAAAAACAATATAAATGTTAAAAATTTCCGTATTTCATAAATATTTTCTATAACATGTCTAATGATACAATTGTATCCTTTTTTGATTGTTTATGCATCTAAGTCAGGGTCTCAGTATGTATCCCCCGCTATACTTGGAGCTCTTTATGCAAACCAAGCCTTGAATTCAGAAGGCTCTGCCTGCCTCTGCTTCCTGAGTGCTGGAATTAAAGGTGTGTGCACCACCCTGCCAGGCTACAATCATATCTTTAGGAAATAAGTTTCAAGAAGGAAGGAGTCAAGGGAAGGTAACATGAACATGAAAGCAGTACAATGATATACACATAAAAATCTCATAACGAAGCATATTCTTTTGTGGGGGAGAAGTTAAGACAGGGTCTCCCTCTATAATTTTGGCTATCCTGGAACTATGTTGACTAGATTGGCATTCAACTCACAAAGATCCACCCGCCTCTGAATCCTAAGTGCTGAGGTTAAAGGCATCTACCACTATACATACCTGAAACTCATTCTTTCCTACACTAACTAAAACTAATAAAAAAGAAACAAGTATCAAATGTAACTATTACTGGGCTAAAGATATGTCTTCATGGGTAAGGGCACCTGCTGTCAAGCCTGAAAACCTGAGTGCAATCCCTGGGATTGACAAGGTAGAAGGCTGTCCTCTGCAGTCTAGCCCCACATAAATAAATAGGAGCTTATTACACTCACACCTAACTACATTCTACATTTACCAAATTCTAGACTTAACTGTACTGTAGTTACATAAACATGAGTTAAGGTCTCAGTTGTGCATATATAATTTCCTACTTCAGTTATACCCATTTCTAAAAGCTAAATTGTGATAAAGTAAATAAACTTGTAATTACCATTATTGTTAACAAAATCTTCATGTACAATAGGGAGATCAAGTCGAATTCGTTTTAAACAGGTCTGAAAAAAAGACATTTTTCCACTTTTATCAATAAGTTAGAGATGAAACAACTACTTATTTATATCTGAGTTATTCTTCAAATAATGACTATTAATTTTCCTGTCTAACAAGACAGATTTCAAAAGAAAGAGCCACGAATAGCAATTCAGCCTCCTTGTACTACTTAGACTGTGAATGACATTCACGATAATCACACTTACCTGAACCTCCTTTTTATTTCCCAGGTTTTCAACTCTGTCAATAAAATCTTCAAATTGCAGTTTGGGGAATAGCCTATGTGCCCAGTGCTCCATGTGTCTGATTAGCGTTTTCAAGTCTTCAGCCTGACACATAAAAATAAAAATGCTGAACAGAAGACTCAATCTCACAGCTGACCCTGTCAGCAGATTTTAGCATTTTAAAGGCAATGCCAAAGTCACTGCTGTCATATTTATAAGGCTAAGAAACTTTTAGAAAGAAACAGAAAATTCTAAAGCTTGGAAGACCACAATCTCAGAAAGTGTTAAGAGCACTGAATACAGATTTTGTTGTAGACACAGATTTTTAGAAATTAGAAGAAAATATGTGTGTGTGTGTGTATGTATATATGTATGTATAAAATAGGACTGGGAAGACAGTTCAGATGGTTAAGAGCCTGGAGAATAAGGCTGAGAACCTATGTTTAAACCCTAGCCCCACATAAAACATCCCTGTATAGTGGCTGAACTAGATACTTATGTCAACTTGACACAAGCGAGAGTCACTGGCGAGGAGGGAGCCTCGCCTGAGAAAATGCCTCAATAAGATCAGGCCTGGGGGGCTGGAGAGATGGCTTCGTGGTTAAGAGCACTGGTTGCTCTTCCAGAGGTCATGAGTTCAATTCCCAGCAACCACATGAAGGCTCACAACCATCTGTAATGAGATCTGGTGCTCTCTTCTGCCATGTGGGCATACATGGAGGCAGAATGTTGTATACACAATAAATAAATAAATCTTTAAAAAAAAAAAAAAGATCAGGCCTGTAGGGTATTTTCTTAATTAGTAACTGATGTGAGAGGGCCCAGCCCATTGTGGGTGGTACCATCCCTGGGCAGGAGGTCCTAAACTCTGTAAAAACAAAACAAACAAAAACAAGCTGAGCAAGCCAGGGAGAATAAGCCAGTAAGCAACACCCCTCCACAGCCTCTGCTTCACCTCCTGCCTCCAGGTTCCTGACTTCCTTTGATGATGAACAAAATGGAAGTGTAAACCGGGCGGTGGAGGCAGAGGCAGGCGGATCTCTCTGAGTTCAAGACCAGCCTGGTCTACAGAGCTAGTTCCAGGACAGGCTCCAAAACCAGAGAAACCCTGTCTCGAAAAAAACAAAACAAAACAAAACAAACAAACAAACAAAAACAAAAAACAAAAAAAAATGGAAGTGTAAACCAAATAACAACTTCCTCCACAACTTTGGTCGTGGTGTTCCATCACGGCAACAGAAATCCTAACTAAGACAGTGGCAGACCTCTGCAGTCCTAGTGCTGAAGAAACAAAGACTGAGGCTCACTGCACAGAGCCTGAGGAAGCACACCTGAAGCTGACCTCTGGCAACAACACACACACACACACACACACACACACCCCGAGGGGAAACAGCCTGAGGAAGCACACCTGAAGCTGACCTCTGGCAACAACACACACACACACACACACACACACACACACACACACACACACACCCCGAGGGGAAACAGCAGTACAAAGTTAGAACAAAGCTGCCAGGCGTGGTGAAACACAGTTTTGATGCAAGCACTGGGGAGGCAGAGGCAGGTGGATCTCTGAGTTCGAGGCCAGCCTGGTCTACAAGAGGTAGTTCCAGGACAGACTCCAAACTACAGAGAAACCCTGTCTCAAAAAACCAAGCAAACAAACAAAAAAGAACTAGACACACTGTTGAGTGTCTTAGAGACACATGATCAACAAAAGCAGTGTTAATTATCAGGAAACTTAAAATGATTCTTTAAGAGAAGACAAAGTAAATTTTATTCTTGTAAACAGTAAGGTACAAATGTGGGCTTAGAGACTCAGACTAAAGCCATGTTAAACATGGGGGTAAAAAAAAATGAGACACACAACATTGTTCTTTTAATTCTTCCAAGTCCCTTTTCTATTCACTATTTCTCAGGGGTTACCACAGATTAACAACAGTATCTGTGATATATGCATCATAGTAGACCCAGTTTCACTTATTTTTAAAAACATAAAAGCTCTAAAATAAAACAGGTGTGATGACATAAGCCTTTAATCCCACCACTTAGAAGAGGCAAGCAGATCTCTATGAATTTAAGGCTGGTTATTAGTCACTGTTCTACTGCTCTTAAGAGGCACCATGACCACAGTCACTCTTAATCAATCAATCAATAAATAAATAAATAAAAATTAAGGGGCTGGAGAGATGGCTCAGCAGTTAAGAGTACTTACTGGCCACTCTTCCAGAGGTCCTGAGTTCAATTCCCAGCAATCATATGGTGGCTCACAACCATCCACAATGAGATCTGGTGCCCTCTTCAGGCATGCAAACAGAACACTGTGTACATAGTAAATAAATCTTTTTTTTTTTAAAGCATTTAAATGGGGTCTCGTTTACAATTTCAAAGGTTTAGTCTATTATCATCATGGGAGGGAGCATGTTGGCATGCAGGCAGGCACTAGAGCAGTGAAGGGGCCTAACTTAACATCAGTACAGCCATGACAGGCTGCAGGCTAGCAATACTGGGACTAGGCCTCACCCTTACAATGGCCTGGCATGCAGGGACCAATCAGAATTGAGACAGACAAAAACCAGACATTCCAGAACATTAAGGACAGCTTACATAACTTGTATATGGGTTGCTAATTTCTTTGCAGTTACGACAAGATTCCTGTTGTCCCACTCCTGCCAGTCAGGAGTTAAAACCCCATCTGAATCTGGAATTTCCCTAACCCCCCATCCTTTACTCCTTAATAACCCTGCTACAGCTGAGCTCGAGGATCTCTGATCTACCTGCTATGCTGGAGCCTAAGGAGACTGCAAGCTCGAGCTTGCAATAAAGGCTTTTTGCTTTTGTATATGAACTCGGACTTCTGGTGGTCTGTGGGGGCCTCGTGACAAAGGAATAAACATTAGTAGCTGAGAGCTACATCTTGATCCACAGGCAGAGAGAGCAGGACTGAGCCTTCCACGTGCTTTTGAAACCTCAAAGCCCAAAGCCAGGGACAAGGCCACATCTCCCAATCCACTAATCCTTTTAAATAGTGCCACTCCCCAATGACTTAAGCTTTTAAATATGAGGGGGTGGCATTCTTATATAAATCACCATAGCTAGTCAGGGCTAGATAGTGATACTCTGTCTCAAATTAAAATAAAATACAAGCCGGGTGGTGGTGGCGCACGCCTTTAATCCCAGCACTCGGGAGGCAGAGGCAGGCGGATCTCTGTGAGTTCGAGACCAGCCTGGTCTACAAGAGCTAGTGCCAGGACAGGCTCCAAAGCCACAGAGAAACCCTGTCTCGAAAAACAAAAAAAAATAAAATAAAATAAAAAATAAAATAAAATACATAAGTAAAAGTCTAAAACAAAAACCAGGGCCGGAATGTACTCCAGGAGTACTGTTTAGCACAAGTTCAAGAACTTGCCTAGGACCCAATGTCCAGTACTAAGAAAGAGGAATCAAATGTTTCTTACCTCATGACCTTTCCCCTTGAATTTTATCTTATCAAACATATGTCTTAAGGCTGGAAGCCCTCTCTCTGAAGTTAATCTGTGAAAACAAATATATTTGGAATTTCAGATTTTCTAGTCATGACAAAACCAAGACCACAAGAAAAAATATTTCCTCCCCAATCGGAAAAAAAAAAGAAAGAAAAAAAAAATGTTTACGGGGGGGGGGGATGCTTACAAACTATCTGATTTCCAAATTGTTCAACCAAAGCTTACAACAGTTGAAGAAAAACACTGTGTGGAAAACTTTAAATGTATGAGAGTAAATGTCCATACCTAGTAGCATCTAGCTTGGGTAGATTCCTTTTAACTGTTCTCCTTGGTGGTACAGGAACAGGTGCTCCACTCCCTGATTGTAGTGAAACAGACAGAAATTTAGTGTTTAAAAATTTAAGGCCTGGGCCCTCAAGATCAGTGGGTAAAGGTATTAGCCACCAAGCCTGACTACTTATGCTCAATTCCCCCATACCCACATCGTGGATGGGACAACTGGCTCCTGCAAGTTGTCCTCTGACTTCCATATACACATATAATGGCACCCATATGCCCACAAACATTCAGATACACACAAATAAATAAATGCTATAATTTTCTAAAATTCAAGTCTTATTTACAAAATATATCAGGGCTGGAGAGATGGCTCAGTAGCTAAGAGCACTGATTGCTCTTCCAGAAGAGCTGGGTTCAATTCCTAGCACCCACATGACAGCTAACAGTCTGTAACTCCAAGATCTGACACCCCCACATAGACATACATGCAGGCAAAACACCGATAATTTCTAAATTAACCTGCTATCATTTCTTTTTTTGTCTTTTTTTCATCTTTTCTTTTTTATTTATTTATTTATTTATTAAAGATTTGTCTCCTCCCTGCCACCGCCTCCCATTTCCCTCCCCCTCCCCCGAACCTATCATTTCTAAATTAATCTGCTAAAGTAGAATTGTGAGAACAAGGCTAACCTGGAATATATTATGAAACCTTGTCTTAAAAACCAACCAAACAAAAGGAGGCTGGAGATGACTCAGGTATTAATAGCACTGGCTGCTCTTCCAGAGGATCCTAGTTCAATTCCCAGTACCCCCACAGCAGCTTACAACTGTCCGTAACTCCAGTTCCAGGGGATCTGACACCTTCATATCAACGCACATAAAATAAAAGTAAAATAAATTATAAAATTTAAAACCAACAAACAAACCAGGCAATGATGACACATGCCTTTAATCCCTGTACCAGAGGCAGGCAGAGCTCTGACTTTGTGGCCATTCTGGTCTATGGAGAAAGTTCCACAACAGCCAGGGATATAGGGAGAAATCCTGTCTCAAAAAAACAAAAACCAGGGCTGGAGAGATGGCTCAGCGGTTAAGAGCATTGCCTGCTCTTCCAAAGGTCCTGAGTTCGATTCCCAGCAACCACATGGTGGCTCACAACCATCTGAAATGAGATCTGATGCCCTCTTCTGGCTGCAGGCAGACACACAGACAGAATATTGTATACATAATAAATAAATAAATATTTTAAAAAAAAAACCAAACAAACAAAGAAGCAAACTCAAGGGACATTTGTGGAATTATCAATACAGACCTTCATCAGGTTCAGGTTCTGCAGTATCTCTCTCAGGAGAGGCTGGAGGTGGGAAGGGAGGAAAGGTTTCATCTTCTATATGATCATAATCTGGTATTTCAAACAAGCCATTCTCTTCTTGCTCTAACATCCTTTCCTCCAGAAGAAAAAAAAAAACAAGCTATTTTTATCCATCCCAAACAGCCTTCCTAACTGTCACACAATCTAATTTCATTCACAATGAAAGCCATGTTTCAATCACTTAAACCACATTTCAAATTCATCCAAAATAAAAAGTAAAGAAGACAGTAAATATGGAGGAAAATGACTAACCAGAACCAAGTAGTAATGTAGTCCCTACAACTAAACGACCACATGGTTTTTAATATTGATATACAGGAGTGTTTTGCCTGCTTGTATGCCTGTGGAGACCAGAAGACATCAGACCATTAGGAATTCAAGTTATAGTTTGAAATACCTATCTATCCATCCACTAAGGAGGCAGAGAGACAGGCAGATCTGAGTTGAGGCCAGTATGATCTACATAGTAAGTTCAGGACAGCTACAGCTAGAGACACTGTCTTAAAAAAAGAAAAAAAAATTCAGTGGAGAAAAATAATGTTTGTTAGGCATGGTGGCACCTGTAATCCTAGCATTTGAAAGAAATAAAATCAAGAACTCAAAGTCAGCCTTGGTTACATAACAAAGTTCAAAGCTGGCCTGGACCAAGAGACCCCTTTTTTTTTTTTTTTTTTTTTTTTTTTTTGGTTTTTCAAGACAGGGTTTCTCTGTGGTTTTGGAGCCTGTCCTGGAACTAGCTCTTGTAGACCAGGCTGGTCTCGAACACACAGAGATCCGCCTGCCTCTGCCTCCCGAGTGCTGGGATTAAAGGTGTGCGCCACCACCACCCAGCTAAGAGTCTGGAGAGATGGCTCAGTGGTTAAGAGCACTAGCTCCTCTTCCAGAGGACCCAGGTTCAATTCCCAGCACCCACATGGCAGCTCACACAGCCTGTAACTTCAATTTTAGGGGCTCCAACATCTTCATACACATGTATACAAGTATAACATGAATGCACATGAAATAAAAATAAATTAAAAAATAAAATTTTACTGGGCAATGGTGGGAAGGCCTTTAATCCCAGCACTCAGGAGGCACAAGCAGGTGGATCTAAGTTTGAGGCCAGCCTGCTTCCCCGACAGCCAGGGCTACCCAGAGAAACCATCCTGAAAAGACTAAAAAACATACAAACAAAAGAATAAAATTTATACCATGTCAACTTCACTTCATACCATATCTCTCATACTTTCTCCTTTAATTCCTTAAAAGAACAATTTCCACTGTAAAACATCTGGATGCTTGTTTGATAAAGTAACTTTTTGTTTTGGGTTTTTTTGGGGGGAGGGGTGGGGGTTACGAGACAGAGCTTCTCTGTATAACCCAGGCTGTCCTGGAACTTGCTCTGTAGACCAGGCTGGTCTTGAACTCAGAGAACCACTGTCTTTGCCTCCTGAGTACTAGGATTAATGGCATGCACCACCACCTCCCACAAAGAATTATTTTTACCTATGTGCTTGCCTGGGTTTGTATGCAACATGCATATGTAAATGTCCAAAGAAGCAAAAGGTGATATAAGCAGGTTTGAGTGGTGGAAAGAGAACCCAGGTCCTTTTCAAGAGCAGATCTCTGACATTCACTGAGCACCGTTTTTTGTTGTTTGAAATAAGGTCATATATAGGCTAAGCTGGCCTCCAATTCCTGATCCTCCCGCCTGTACTCCCCAAGTGCTAACAGTACCTACTTATATTTTGAAAGCTCGTCCCTGACCCCCAATTTTTTTCAAATATTAACTATTACCTCATCAGGAAAACCTATCTCAAATCAGGAATGTTGAGACTTTCTGTAATCCCAAAAGGTAGAGGAAGGAGGAACAGAGTTCAAGGCCATCCTCAATTATTTCAAGGCCAGCCTGAGACTCTTAGACTATTTAAATGTCCCCTAAATTGAATAACAATACTGTGTGAGCACTGTGGAAGCCCTAAGGACAACTTTCCGACTTTCATCAGCACAGAATCAAATTCAAATCATCATATTTGTACTGCAAGCACTGTTACCTGATAGGCCACCTTTATTGCCCAGAATCCTCTTATAACAATTAACACTACAGGCCGGGCGGTGGTGGCGCACACCTTTAATCCCAGCACTTGGGAGGCAGAGGCAGGCGGATCTCTGTGAGTTGGAGACCAGCCTGGTCTACAAGAGCTAGTTCCAGGACAGGCTCCAAAGCCACAGAGAAACCCTGTCTCGAAAAAAGACCAAAAAAAAAAAAATTAACACCACCATACAGAAGTTTCTCAGGAATCATCATCTCTCTATTAGGTTTTATTTAATGTTAGTCTCCTATAATGAAATGTACCTTTCTTAGAACAAAAGTCAGACAGGTCTCTTTGTGTTCCACTACTATATCCCAAATTCAGTATGCAACAGATAATATATTTACTACAGGAAGGAAATAAAAAAGAATTCCAAATGATATACAGTATAATCTCAATACTTAGAAGTCTAAAATAGAAACCCAGGAATACAGTCTGGGCAAGAGTCCTTGCCTATACAAACACACCCACAATACACAATGCAGAGGTAGCTCAGTTGGTGGAAGGCTTGGTTAGCATCCACAAGACCCTGGGTTCAATTTCCAGTATGTCATAAACCAGATGCATGTGTAGGGGTGCATTGGTTTGCAACCCCAGCCCTCAAGAGGATCAGAAATTCAAAGTTATCTTCAGCTGGGCCAAGCCCAGACCAGTTTGGGCTACATGAGAATCCCCATCTTTAAAAATAAAAAGCTTGAGCTGGAGGTTGAAAACACAGGTCGCTGTTACAGAGGTCCTAAGTTCAGACGCCAGCACCCACACTGAACATCTCACTAACGCCTCTAACTACAGCTTCAGGGGATTTGACACCTGGCCTCATGTGCACTTATTCCTGCCTCACTCATTCTTAGAAAGTAAATCTCAAAAACAGGCGGTGGTGGGGTACACGTTTAATCCCAGCACTGAGGCAAATTATCTCTGTGAGTTTAAGGCCAGCATGGTCTACAGAGTTCCAGGACAGCTAGGACTACCTGAAGAAACTCTGTCTCAAACAAACAAACAAAAAACAAAAAAATACATAAATTTCCAAAGTTTCCTCCAAAACTAAACATATTTGGACTCAAACATGTTTAAAACACCCCAATCAGGGCTGGAGAGATGGCTCAGCGGTTAAGAGCAGTGACAGCTCTTCCAGAGGTCCTGAGTTCAATTCCCAGTAACTACATGGTGGCTCACAACCACCCATGAGATCTGGTGCCCTCTTCTGGCCTGCAGGCAGACATACAGGCAGAACACTGTATATAAAATAATATTTAAAAAATAAAAAATAAAAAAAACCCAATCAGGCGGGTGGTGGTGACTCACGCCTTTAATCCCAGAACTCGGGAAGCACAGGCAGGTGGATCTCTGTGAATTCGAGACCAGCCTGGACAGGCTCCAAAGCTACAGAGAAAACCCAAAAACAAACAAAAAGCCATATCTACAAAAACAAAACAAAAACCCCCAATCTAGACTTAACTTTTATTATATGATTTTTACTTATTACTGGTGTGTGTATATAATGTGAATGGCAAGAGGAACCCTGGACTCAGGTCTTCCACCTTTCCATGAGCTCTAAGCACCATCTTTACCTGTGGAGCATCTAGCTGGCCCCAGTTCTAAATTCTATGACCATAAATCTATAAAAACAAAGCACTCCCAGCACTCGGGAGGCAGAGGCAGGCGGATCTTTGTGAGTTCGAGACCAGCCTGGTCTACAGAGCTAGTTCCAGGATAGGCTCCAAAAACCACAGAGAAACCCTGTCTCGAAAAACCAAAAAAAAAAAAAAAAAAAAAAAAACAAAGCACTGACTCTGGATAATAAACGGCTAAGTCTTTGAGTAAGTTTTATGAACCATGGTTTTTGGGGAGCAAAAAGAAAGTTACATAGTATGGTTAGGGCTAGAGACTGCAGCTCTTAGCCTAGCCCCAGACAAGCGCCCCAAGCCTCCAAACATCTAGTGCCATCCCAATGGGAGTTTGAAAACAGGACTTAAAACTACAATAACCAGCAAATAAACAATAAAGCACGAGGTGGGGCTTATCAGTACGCTCGTTTCTCTTAGCACACGGCAAGCGTCGTTCGATAGGCGTCTTTCTCCCCTTGACAATATTTTTGTCTACTTCTCCCTCATGGTCCTCAAACTCCCAGAGAAGTATGGGGGTACAAATTCAACATCCGACTGACAACTCCTGCCCACACCTCTTACTAACCTACTTTATTTCCAGCTGTCAAACAAGCTCCTCACATTAAAGGACTCCGGCATCCTGACTCACCCTGGGTGCCACCCCTAAAAATATCACGTCTCCCTTCCCTCTTCTCGAGGCTTCTCATCCTCCCTCCCGGCCAGTCCACTCCATTCACCCCCCATTCTCCGTCCCGACGCTTGGCGCGAAGGGTGTGTGCGCGCGGTGGAGGCCCGCCATGCTCCCGCCCGCTCCGCCCGGTCCTCCTCAGCACAGCAGCCTAGCTCCTGCCGCCCCAGTTCCCGCGCCCCGCGCCGAAATTCCAGAACCTCCGGCGAAACGGCTTCTACCAGACTCCCTCACCGAACTGGGTCTCACCTCCAGCAAACGGCCAGACCGTAGACAGCGCGAACAGCACCTCTCGCGAGACTCAGGAACACACTCCGCGAGAAGAGCTGGAAAGTTTGGCGCCAACAGCGCCCGAGCGGCCTGGGCGGGGCCTAAGGACCTGAGCCCCTCCCGCCTGGGTTCGGAAGCCTTCTCTCCCCCGCCAGCATATTTTCAATAGCGTGAAGCTCAGAATTCGTACTTTCTAGGCACTTTATTGGCCTTCGAAATAGGTCTCCGTTCTTAGAAACCGGGTGGTGGAAGCCGGGCGTGAGAATGCACGTCTGGAATCCCAGCCTTGGGGAAGCTGAGGCAAATGGATCTCTGTGAGTTCGAGGCCAGCCTGATCTATAAAACCAGTTCTAGGCCAACCAGAGCTGTTACACAGAAAAACCCTGTTTCAAAATGCAAACAAACAGCAACAACAAGAATGAGATAAAGGTGCTAGAGAGATGTCTTAACCATTAAAAGTACTTGGTGCTCATGCAGAGGACTCGTTTGCTTTCCAGCACCTAGAACTCTATGAGTTCTAGGCGCCAGCCTGCTCTACAAAGCGAGTTCCAGAACAGCCAGGACTGTTTCACAAAGAAACCCTGTCTCGATCACCCCCTCCTCCCCGCCAAAAAAAAAAAAAAAAAAAAAAAAAAAAATGAGATGGTGAGAAAAACAACCCGTGCTAGCTTTTAACTCTGTACCCTCCGTATTCACATACAAAATAAATAATAATAGAGCTGGAAGGAGCTGGAGAGATTGCTCAACATAGCTGGGCATTGGTGTCCCACACCTTTAATCCCAGCACCCGGGGAAGCAGAGGCAGGCAGATTTCTGTGAGTTCGAGGCCAACCTAGTATACATAGCAAATTCTAGGACATCCTGAGAAACCCTGTCTGGGGTAGGGGAGAGCAACCCAAAAAATTCGAGGAAAAAGACCACAGACCCAAATCATCATGGCAATACTAATTAAAGCAAGCTTTTTTTTTTTTTTTTTTTATTCACATACACCTAAAAGTGGAGTTCAAGAGATCAGCCTTGGATGTGAGGAAAACAAGATTCTTGTAGTTCAGGGCTAAGGGGTTCCCAAATGATTTGATGGGCAAAATAGGCAAGGCTACGGGAGCAAGACATAGGCATAAAAATCTCAGTCTTCTAAAGCAAAGACATGATTGCTAGGTAGTTGATAACAAGTTAGTCATAATAACCTTGGAAACAAAGGTAGGGTTCAGGATAGCTATACCTTTTTGAAGCAAAGACATGGTTGCAGCTTCCTGGAACAGGCCGTACAGAGCCATTTGCCCCTAAGGTTACAGGTGGGGCATTGCCCAACCTTGAGAAACAGATTTAATCATAAACAGGAATGGGCCTAGTTCGTCTTTACTGTAACCTGGCTTTTAAGTGTAAAATGAAGGCAGACTGAACCCAGGCAATATTCCTAAATCTGCATGGCTACTCCCAAACACCTGAAATTCCAGTTCCAGGGGCTCTGCTGCCCTCTCCTGACCTTTGGGGGCACTGCACACACCAGTGCACTTCCATGCAGATAGAAGTCATACACATAAAATAAAAGCAAATAAAATTTAAAAGTGTAATTAGAAGCCAGGTGATGGTACACACCTTTAACTCCACCACTTGAGAGGCAGAAGCAGGCAGATCTCTGTGAGTTTGAGGCCAGCCTGGTTTACAGAGCAAGTTCCAAGACAACCAGGAAATCCTGTTTTGAAAAATCAATAATAATAATAATAATAATAATAATAAGCCGGGCAGTGGTGGCTCACGCCTTTAATCCCAGCACTTGGGAGGCAGAGGCAGGCGGATCTTTGTGAGTTCGAGACCAGCCTGGTCTACAAGACCTAGTTCCAGGACAGGCTCCAAAACCACAGAGAAACCCTGTCTCAAAAAAGCAAAAAATAATAATAATAATAATAAAACACGTGTGTAAAACATGAACATCTGTGCAGTGCTCAAAGAGGCCAGAAGAGGGCATTGTATCTCCTGGAACTGGGGTTACAGGCAGTTCACAACAGCTCACAACCTGAACCTGGATATTCTGGGAAAGGAAAAAGTGCTCTAGAATCAATCACTGAGCAATTGCTCTGGTATCATTATTTTTATTATTTTAATTTTATGTGGTGTATGTGTTTCCCTGTACCTGTACATGCTGGTGCCCAAGATGTCCAGAAGAAGGCATAGAATTTCCTGACATGGAGTTATGAGCAGTTATAAACTACCAAATGGATGCTGGAAATTGAGCCCTACTCCTCTGCAAGAATCGCAAGTGTTTTTGAACACTGAGCCATTTTCTAGCTTCATATTATTTGTGGGGTTTTGTTTGTTTTATTTGGTTTGGTTTGGGTTTTTTATTTCTGTTTTTTGTTTTATTTCTTTGTTAGTTTGATGTTTTAGATGGGTCTCTCTATGTAGCCTTGGCTATCCTGAACTTGCTACATAGACCAGGCTTGCCTCAAGCTCACAGAGATCCACCCACACAAGTGCTGCAACTAAAGCATGCACCACCACAGCTGGCGTAATTGGATACATTTCTTTCTGACCTTCATAAAATGATATCAAAGTGCATGTTTTCTGTTTGGGTTTATTTTTTTCTTCCATATTTTGTTGTGTGGTACCTCCGCATTGTTTCATATCAGAAAATTATAAGACCTCTCTGTCCTGTCAGCCTGCTCCCCACTAACCACAAAGAGGCTTAATATTAATTATAAATGCTCCACTAATAGCTCAGGCTTGTTACTAGCTAGCTCTTACAACTTGAATAAACTCATTTATATTAATCTATATATTGCCATGTGGCATTACCTCTCATCTTGTACCTCCTCTTCCCTTTCGTATCTCACTGGGGACTCCTCCAACTCCCCCTTCTTTTTCCAAGTGTCCTTAGTCTGGCTCTCTGGCCTAATCCTATTCTGTCCAGCTATTGGCCTGCCAACTTCTTTATTAAACTCATCACAATGACATGTGTTCACACAGTGTGAAAGAATATTCCACAGAAAACTTGCATTGTCGCACCCTATACCACACTTTATCAACATCCCTTTTATTGATGGAAGGTTTCTTGTGCCGCTGTGTACAGCACTGCCCCTGACCATGTGTACGTATGTAATATATATGTTAATTTAAGGAACAAAGATCTGAAAAGACAAGAAGGAATGGGATCAAGGTCACAGATGGGGGGGTGGCCTTTGATTTGAGAGTGGGGCAGTTCACTCTGATAGGAGTTTACATGTAGGGCATTTTAGGTTTGTGAGAGAAACCTAGGGGCTGAGAAGATGATCAGTTCACACCAGGGTTGAGGTTCTGTTGGATAAATGCAGTGGAAAGAAAAAGGTAAAGAAAAAAAAAGAGGTATTTGCCAAAAGTGATTACTAGTTCATGGGTCTGAAGTGAATGGGAGACTCAGAACCAGAGAAGACTGGGTGAGGGGAGAAGTTTGAGTGGATTTGACATCCAGTGGGGCCTCAGGTTTGTTTCTAGGGTTGTTGTGGGCAAAGGGTAGGGAGTTTGTGCCTGTGCTGTTGGAAACTGTACCACCGATGGGCGGTACAGAGGCAAAAGAGTTTCTGTTCTCATAGAGATGCAACTGACCCAAGCCCCCATCACTGCCACCCTATGCGGAATCTGGGGGGCCCTCCTGAGATCCCTACAAACTCAGTGAGACAGGTTCTCACCATCATTTAGGCTTCAGAACTTGAACTTGGACTCTTCTTTCAGTTACAATAATAAATCAGTAGATGCAGACACCTCATGTCGCTTCTGGGGGAGAGGTTCCTGGTACCTGGCCAAGCTTTCGTTTCTATAACCACGTTCCCCGCTTTTCTCTCCTTTCCATCTCTTCTGTGGCAAAGACCATTTTCCTCGGCTTTCTTAGCTTAGAGCCAGCTGACACGCCCAGGATGGGAGTGGGAGGCCTGCGTGTGGGTGATCTGCCTCAAGCACTGGTGAGGATACAATGTTCTCCCTGTCGGGAACACTGCTCTCTCTAGCGGGACTGCCATCTATGAAGGCAATTAAATTGTTTTCTCCACTATCCCAGTAGAATTTGATTCAATGGGAATGGCAGAGAGGTTTTGTTTTCTTTGAAGGTCTCACTCTGTAGACCAGGTTGGCCTGGAACTCACAGAGGTCTGCCTGCCTCTAACTCCCGAGTGCTGGAGACAGCCATTGTTGGACCACAGCCTATATATCATTTACAAATCCTATATAAAGCCTATATATATATATATTCATTCTATCAGTTCTGATCCTCTGCAGAACCCCAACATGCACTACTAACCTTCTGTATCTTTGAAAATCCTCTCATCTGCCCTTTGCCCCATTTCAGTTTGTGCTATCTAGAATGTCATGTGTAAGCTGGAGAAATGCCTCAATAGTTAAGAACACTTGCTGCTCTCGCAAAGGACTGCCGCTCAGTCCCCAGCACCTAATCTGACTGCTCACATACACTTGGAACTCCAGCTCCAGGGATCTATTGGGATTTGAATGGGGGGTCATATATTTGAATGCTTGGTCCCCACTTGGGTGAACCCATTAGGGAAGGATTTGGGGGTATGTTTTGTTGGATAAGGTGTGTCACCGGGGGATGGACTTTGAGGTTTCAAAAGGCCCACAACATTCCCAGTTAATTTTGCTTGCCTCTTGTGTGTGGACCAGGATGTAAACGCTCAGCTGCCTGCCTGTCTGTTACCTTACTCCCCCATGTACCCCACCATGATGATGTTAGTTAGTTAGCTCTAACTAACCTTTTGAAACCGTAGGCCCCAAATAAATTCTTTCATAAGTTGTGTTGGCCATGGTGTCTTTTAAAGATTTATTTATTATGTATACAGTGTTCTGACTGTGTGTATGCCTACATGTCAGCAGAGGGCAACAGATCTCATTATAGATGGTTGTGAGCCACCATGTGGTTACTGGTAATTGAACTCGGGACCTCTGGAAGAGCAGCCAGTGCTCCTAATCTCTGAGTCATCTCTCCACTCCTGGTCATGGTGTCTTATAACAGCAATGGAAAAGTAACTAAGACAGGCTCTGAAGCCTTCTTTTGGTTTCCTGTCACCCGA